CAGGAGGTGGCAGCTCAGAAGCAACAGCACCAGGGTGCGAAGTGAACAGCCTGGTTCTCCAAGTCTGCTGTATTTTTGCCAGATCTGTCAGAAGTAGACAGAAGCAGAAAAGATAAAGGGACAAAGCAAGAAGTGAAGTGACGGGATGAGAGTAGTAAGGCTAAAGACGCTAAAAACTCGGTGATCAAATTGTCTTCTAGCTCTTCCGGGCCCAAGTTGATCCTGCAAATCCACGAAGGAGAGAGACTTCATGTGCCATTCCCACAGTGGGAGGAATTTCGGAGTCGCTCTCTTCAAACACCCACCAGGCATGAATTTATAATCCTGGATCGGATTATGTGTTAAAACGACATCCTCCTGATGACGAACATTCTAGAATAAGTGGTGGAATCAGGTGTTGCTTTAAAGAAGAAAAGGAGAAGAAAAAGAAATGAGAAAAAAAAGAAAAAGGCCCTCTCCTCACCTAGTCCTATGAATACCTCCTCCTTTGTCCTCATGCTGGATATTTAGAAGCCCCCACTCTGGTACTTTCCCTTCCCCAGGAGTCCTATATGCCCATAAGAATTCTGTGAGGACCCATACAACTTTTGGCATTCATTCTGACATCACACCCATCAAGGCCGCCAACTTTCCACACCATCTAAATGTCACAAGTTTGACCTGCACAGCTTTTCTGCCCATGTTTCTCCAGCTCTTCACATAATTTAGGAAGTAGAATCTTCAGAACATTATAAAACACTCCTTAAGTAATTTGGAGGTACTCTTTTGCAAGCCTGGCCTCACTCCTATGAGCATTATATTAAAATACTGCCTCTGAACTCTTGGTCTTTAATTTGAAACTTTTGTAGCTGCTTCAGCACTTCCTTCACAGAAAGAACCAGTGGCCTTGCTCCAAACAACACTACATGTCTTCTTCTAAGTACTTCTTCTAAGTATCCAGGGTTGTTTTGGTTTCCTACAACTGAGCTGTCACCCTGTGAACTGCAGGCTGTTGGCAAAGCCTGCTGTGAGGAAAACAGGATTCAGCCCCGTGGTACCACACACAGGGCCAAGGAGCTTGGAAGCCACTCGGTGAAAAGTGGCAGGCCTCCCTGAGATTCCTGGTCCTCCCCTATTGGGACACAAATGACACTGGAAGCCTGTGCTTAGAATTTCTCAGGGGCCTGGCACTTTGCTCTGTTGTCCCAGTGACTCACATGGTAATTTCCCAGGCCTTCAAACTGGGTCAACAAGCTTTGTTTGTCTAGAGAGCTCCCCTGGGAGGCCACACTAAGAAAAGCAGGCTGGATGGGGATGTTTGGCCAGGTGATTCTTTTTGCTGGCTTTTAGCCTGAGGAAATATTTCCAGTATTCAGTCCAGGAGTTGGGAGAATTAAAAGCTGCCCAGCATCTGGGTTGGATCAACATACACCAGTGTTATTAGTTAAGTGTTAGCCACACTGCTAATGGTGGCTCTCGCCGTGAGAGAACCTTAGGACGGCCCTCAACAAAGATGTCTACTTCTTACAGATGAAAAAGACAGCAAGCTTGCACTATGAAGCTAGTCACAGAAGCTTTCATTAACTCTGTCAATGTCACCTGATCAATTTCTTTCTTTAGTCAACAATGGAGTCAGCCTGGGTCAGTACTTCTCAAATTTGAGAGTCACAGACCCCAACAATGTATCTGAAGACTTAACAGACCTGAATTTTTGTAACTTAGAATTAAAAGTTTCTCATAGCAGCATTATTCATAATGGCTAGAAAGTGGGAACAAAACCAAATGTCCATCACCTGATGAATGGATAAACAATGGGATACAATGAAAAAATGTTCTGCCCCGAAAAGGAATGAAGTGCTGATATATGCCACAACAGATGAATCTTGAAAACGTGCTAAATGAAAGAATGGAGATGCAAGAGGCCACATATTATATGATTCCATTTATATGCAATGTCCAGAAGACACAAATCCAAAGAGATAGAAAGTAAATTAGTAATTGCCAGGGGCTGAGGGGAGAGGGAAATAGGTAATGACTGCTAATAGGGATGGGGATTTTTTTGGGGGGTGGGTAATGAAAATATTCTGGAATTATATAGTGATGGTCATTGTACAATCTGTGAATATACTAAAAACCAGTGAATTGCACAGTTTAAAAGGATGAATTTTATGGTATGGCAATTATATCTCAATAAATTTATATATTTAGTTGACTACTGGGTACCAAGATAAATACTTTGTGTGGGACAGTGAATCCTTGTGTCCAGATTCACTTATGGAGGTAGCTAGCCAAACGGTCCAGAGAGCACTTATGTTAACTTCGAATGGTCATAGAAGGACATCTAAAATTGAAAATATTCACAGATAACTTCTAGACCCCGATAATTCATCGGTGGAAACTCCAATGGTCCATGAACCCGGGTTTTAGAAACATTGACCTAGATAATCTCACAGGATTTGTTACCCTTTTACATGATGTGTGATGAGGACTTTTCAGTAAGGTGCTTTCCAAAGACAAAGCCCAACCAGGGAAACCTTGGGATTTGCTTGTGTCAAATTACTCCATCTACATTCCAGGTAGTTGATCAAACATGGGATCTATGAGGATGGAAATGCATAAGCCCCAGGATGAGATGAAAATGGAGTTCAATACCAGGTAATCTAACATGGAAAATCCTCTGAGGAAGGCCTCCCGCTGGCTTCTCACTTGGGGTACGGATTGACCACCCCTGATTTACACACTATGACCTTCCATTAAGGGTCCCTAGCAATGAAATAAAGACAGATGCTGCTAACTCATACGAGAGGGGAAGGCCAGTGGGCATTTATGAGAGCAAGGGGGCTTTCCTACATACTATGGGCATGGGCAAAGTGAAGGATTATAGGGTGTGGTTCATGATTGGCTCTTCTACTTATTTAGCTAGAAGGCAATTATCTTGACTCATTGACCTTTTGTTTCCTCAGAAAAAAATCAAACTATCCCACCGCTTGCAGCAGTTGTTCAGATGACTTCAGTTCATCAAACTTTTACCAAGCACCTCTTTTCTACATATTAGACAGTGAGCTGGTTCTGGAAAGAAACCCATATGACCCCTGCCCTCGGGGAGCCAATAACCTAGTAGGGGAGACTATTATGCTGAGCGTCATGGGAAAAAACTGTGTTTAAAGGACTTTGATAACTATTGAGTGCTAGAAAAATATATGGTAATAATGCATCTTGATTATCCAATATGCATGAATAGTTGGTCTGATTCCTGGCTCTGGGTATTTCTCTAATAAGAATATTTTTGTAGATTTAAGCAGTAAGGCCTTATTGGATATCATTTACCTGGGTATTGACTGAACTCACCATCTCCCATAAGGACATTTTCATGTTGTGCCCACTAGGTGTCTCATTACTTTGCAAGAAAATGGAAAAGCACAATGTTGCCACCTGTGTCAGGAGTCAGCTATAGTACAAACATCCAGCTCACTTGGCTAAAATCTCAGACCCATGCTAGCAAGCATTGTATAAAATATCCATAGTGTAGTTGCTTCTCATTTGAGAGGAAGTAATGGAAGAAGATGTCTTTGTGGATTCTCTTTCTCATAAGCCATGTACCTGCAAACTGCTCTCCTAAAAAGGCCAGAACTAGTTAGATGAAGTAGGAATTCTTCCACAAAGTGTATACTAAGACCTACAGGCTGCAGCACTGCATCCCCATTGGTTTCCTGGGCTAGAATTTAGCCGTCATCTGCAGGTGAGCTGACACCCCCAAACCACACCATACTGTGTGCCCAGGCAGGTGTGTTCTTCCCTATTCATTGGTGTCAAAGAAGTCGTTTTCACAATAAAATCCAGGGTCTCTTCCTTCCCTGGGAATCTCAAGTTTGTAAATAATAGACAAATGTTTATCCCCATATTTTCACCTTTGCGTGCATGACTTTTCTTTCAGTGGCCTATGGCAGAATGCTTTGCCTCTGAGTGACATCAGGCACCAGATAACAAACAGGAGACTGAATGCCTTCAAAAATCTACTGCAACTTAAAGAGCTCATCTCTTCAGGCTTTCATACTCTACTAATGGGAGCGCAAATGGATATAATCTTTCTGCAATGCAATTTGGCAATATCTACCAAGAATGCATTTCAGAAGCTTATATTCTTTTACCCTGTGTCTGTCAGGATCCCAAAAGGAAAGGGGTTTCTCCAGGATGGTTCAAATGAAGAGACTTTAATAAAAAGACTACTTACAGATGGGCAGGCCAGGTTAAAGGAGTAAACAAAGGATGTTGAGGCACCGAAAAAAGAGCAATAGTGGGAAGCTGTTACCATTCCTAGAGCTAAAGGACCGAGGGAGGAAATAATCTTGGACTAGAATCCAGTAATAAGAGCTAGAACAGTGGAGGGGGACCACCAAGAAAGGGGGCTGGGCTGAAGGTGGGGAGGGGCATGCAGCCACTGCCCCAAAGCAGGGAGAGAGTGGGGAGGAGATATCCCTACTTTTCTCTCTTCTCACCCTGTCTCCTCTTGGTGCCACCCACTAACTGAATCCCAAGGAAGCCAAAGGCGAGGAATCCTGGAGATGCTATCTATAAAGACAGAGAGAAGAATAAAGAAAGGCAGAGAAGGGAGCAGGGGCTAGGAATGGAAAACAACCAGCACAATCCTATAATTCCATTTCTAGGCATGTATCCTAGGGACATAATCAAAGATGGGAGGAAAAAATTATATGCAAGGATGTTCTTCATAGAATTAAGTATAATACTGAAAACAAGCTAAATTTCCTATAATGGAGAAGAGATATATAAATTATAGTGTACCCATAATTTGGAATATCACTGTGCCCTTGTAAACATGTTTGAAGAATCTGTGATGGTATGCAGAAATGCTTATCATAAAATGTTAATTGAAAAAAAAGGGGACACAAAACTGTATGCATAATAGTATTAACTCAAATCCTTGAATACCTATATGCAAAGGGAAAGACTATTTATTTTTTTGGTTGTCAAATCATCCTTTATTGAAATATTTTCCTTTGTAGTTAGCTAGCTGGGCATTCCACTCCACCACTATTGATATCATCTATGATGTCATGAGGGTGGTGGCCATCAACACTGCAGCCCACAGACTGAGCAGTCCCCAGGATCTCTTTAATGGTCCCAGAGAGTTCTCTGGCTAAAGATCGTTGCCGCATCTGTCGGGCAATATTGACTATCTCATCAAAAGTGATATTTCCACTGTGCTTCATGTTTTTCTGCTTCTTTCTGTCTCTTGGTGGTTCCTTGAGGGCTTCAATAATCAGGGCAGAGGCAGAAGGTACCACTTCAATCTGGGCCTGTCTGTTCTGAATGGTCAGTTTCACTATAATCCTCAGACCCTCCTTCCAATCACAGGTCGCCTTGGCGATGTCATCACCAACTTTTTTGGAGACAGACTCAGCGGGCCAATCTTTGATCTTCAGGGACGTGGCACCAGCTTCGCCAACAGTGCACCTCAGGTACACGACTTGGATCTCATTGGGGTCAAACTTAGGCGGCATGGTGGAGGTGGCTGGTGTTGGATGACCGAAGACAGTTAATACCTTTGCCTCCTCTAGCCAAAAGCCAAAAGCAGAAAAAACACTTTATTTTTAAAAATTTTTTAAAGATTTTATTTACTTATTTGACAGAGAGAGAATACAAGCAGGGGGAGCAGGAGAAGCAGGCTCCCGCTGAGCAGAGAGCCCAATGAGGGGCTGGGGCTCAATCCCAGGACTCCAGGATCATGACCCGAGCCAAAGGCAGAACACTCAACCAACTGAGCCACCCGGGTGCCCCGGAAAAAACACTTAAAAAAAAATTTCTTTTTGATGATGGGGTTACATTATCTTTTCTTCAAAACTTCCAACCTTTTTTTTCCTGTTCACAATAAGCATATGATACTTTTGTGATCAGAGAAAAAAAGTCAATGCCAAAAAGGAGAGTTGACCTCATTGAAATGGATTCTGCTCAATTTAAAATATTGATGATGGACACAGCAATTATTGAAGTAAATTAAAACTAATGGCATGAAGGGTGAACCTCAATCTGTATCTATTTGCTATCTGGACAAAAAGTGAAAGAAAAATCAGTCAATTTCTACATGATATCAAATATCCAGATGGATGATTTTGATTTTTTTTTTTAATTTTTTTTTTTTTTTTTATTCATGAGAGACAGAGCGAGAGAGAAAGGCAGAGGGAGAAGCAGGCTCCCAAGGAGCAGGGAGCCCGATGCGGGACTCGATCCCAGGACCCTGAGATCATGACCCGAGCCGAAGGCAGACGCTCAACCATCTGAGCCACCCAGGCGCCCCGATGATTTTGATTTTTGACTACACTTTTTATTCTTGACCTGAATGACAGATATCATATTAATTCAGCTTTAGTTTAGGACTCTTCTTACCTTACAACTCTGGAAAATCCAAGAAATACCTATAACCTAAAAGTTGTCCCTTATACTGAAATAATAATGTTATCTCTTAAATTTTATTGTTTAGTGTTCTGTATCATTTTAAAACTATATTTTTAATCAATTGGCCAATTAATACAAAAATACATTCTTGTTTTAAAGAATTAAACAATACAAAGAATATGGAAGTTTCCCTTGGCCACCTGTTCACTTGGTCTCCTTCCCCTAGGTAACCTGTTTTCAGTTTGTTACATAACTCTTAAGACATTTGCTTATCGTTTACATGCATATATATGCATATAGAAATATATGGTTTTATTTTCATTTTCTAAGTAAATGGTGTTTATATTGTACATCTTATTCTGCAACTTGCTTTTTTTCTCATGTTCTCTACTTCATTCATTTCCAATGGTTACACAGTGTTCCATGGTTTGGATAGTCTATAGTTTATCTGACCACTTCACCTACTGATGGTTACTTAGGTTGTTTTTAGTTATTTGTTATTTTAGACACTGCTGTGGTGAAACACTTTGTGCATGCCTCTATTTGCATACATCTGAGCATTATTTCTCTAAGGGAGCAATTGAAAAATGCTATTTCTGATTTGAAAGGAATATGCACTTAAATTTTTACTCGGTACTATCCAACCGCCTTCCATCAAGCTTTATCAATTTACACTTCCAGTAAGATGAAAAGATGCCAAGCCTTGCTAATAATCAGGAAAATGAAAATTAAAATAACAATAGGACATCATTTTTACCATCTTAGGTTCACAAACTGAAAAAGGTAATACAAAGTATAAAGGAAGATAGAGACATGAATCCTCACAGAAGGTTCTTTTTACAACCAGCATCTACACATTAGGGAAGGGTCCTTGGAGACCTACGAAAAGTGATTACGCTAGACTCTTGTGATAAATAAACAAAGGACATTTCCTGTTACAGGGCCATTGACTTTTATAAGAATCCTGTTAACAGTGCATCCGCCCAGGGCATTCTTATCAGTTACTATTGTTTTGTAATTACTAATTCCTTAATTTACTCAGTAGGTAAGAACTTCTCCATTTTAATAACTACGTTGCACTTTCTCATAGGTTGCTTCAATTGTCCTCTGTCTCAGTGACAGGGTGAGGTGCTACTTTAGATGAGGAAGTTGAAGCTCGAAGAAGTTCAGTGATTTCCCAAGCCAGCTAATAGGTAGAAGGGCTAGAGTCTTCTGACTCCCAGTTCTATCAGCTTCCCACTTACTCTGTGGAAGTCCTTCCTGCTTCTTCTTTAGAGTTCAAGTCATCCAAAAGGAACCACAGGGGGCAGCCTGGTGCAGCAGAAGATGATACAACAGGCCGGCTGTGCTCCTCCCTCTGCGTGACCTCCGGCAAGTCCGTTAGCTTCCCTGGGCCTCTGTTGCCTCTTAAGAAAAGTAGTACTGCTTACTAGTACTGTAAGCAGAGATGATGCCTTGCAGTTCCTCCTAGTTGTGAGATTTTATTTAAGCCAAACTTAGACAGTGCTCCTTCTCTGCTCATATATTTTATGGAATACCATTTTCTGCAATGGATTTTATTTTTCTCTGCAAATATGAACCCACAAAGGAAAAACTTACCATAGAACATTTTCTTTGATGGAAGTCTGAAAATGTTCTCTTGTCTCTCTCTCTTTCTCTTTCCTTCTCTCTCTCTTTCTCTTTTTCTTTCTTTCTTTTAGCATTATTACGTTAAACCCCTTGCCAAAGGCTACGGAAATCCCCAGGGAACAATAGCAAATGGTTTCAGGTAGCTGGCTGCATCTGAAAAGATGTTTTCTGCCTGGATCTCTTACTGCTTGGCAGGACTCCATTTCCACCTACATTTTTTGTTGCCTCTTATTACAGATTTTTAAAGCGACTTACTTTCCCATCCTATTTCTAATAGTGTGAAAGCTTTACTCAGAGTTGTTCTTTATAGTTCCAACTTCCATAAACCAAAGATTTTGAGAGGGGAACGAGTCTTAAGAGATCAATTGATCCTGTCCTCTGTCTTTGAATAGATAAAATATTTTTCCATTTAATAGAAGCATCTGATTCCCAGAAAGCCTGTGACTTATTCAAGGTTTCACACAGCTCGCAAGTGTCCTCCTACAGTACTTACTCCATTCTTACTGAAGGACAATTTATTGGTAATCCTGGCTCTCCCAGAAAATCACAATGAAAGTCAAAATGAGTAAACCATATGATCATTGGTTGTTTTCATTTTATCACACATCACGAATTCTTATAGTTCTAACCATATTTTGATGCATTATTTATGAGAGCCATCTGGTCACAGGTTTGCGGAGAAAACTCTGTAATTTTAAAAGTGTGCTTCATTCTTCCAGGAAACACACTGCATAGCTTGGATCTATCCTTCACCTGCCCGTCAGTTATATGTGGTGCAATCACAATTGTTAACTGCATCCTTTTTTTTTTTTTAATTGGGTTATAACTCACATACAATCAAGTACACACATCTTAAGTATAGAACTCAAAACATTTTTACCTGTGCATATAAAACATAACCATAACCCAGATCAAGATATAGAGCACCAGCAGTACATCTGAACATACCCTGTGTCCTGAACTAGTCACCACCCTCCAAGGTTAGCCACTGTTTTAACTTCTTTTACCAGAAATTAGTTTTAAAGTTCAAAAACAAATGTTTTTGGACTTCATACTAATGGAATCATACAGTATAGACTGTCTTGTGTCTCCTTTCTTTCATTCAACATTATGTCTTTGAAATTGTTAACTACATTCTAAAACTGCAATTCACTTTCTGGCTCAAGTCCTCAGGGAATCTCTCAAAATTGGGCATATAATATGCCAGCTGTACACAGGTATGTGTAATCTTTAAAAAAAAAAAAGGCAGTGGAGAAAAGAACTTTTTAAAAATGACTAGAATAATCTATACGGCTCTTGTCACTTTCTACTCTTGCACCGTAATTTCTCTGTTCATCTCAGCTTTTAAATGGACTCTGATCCACCCAAGTATTCTCTTTTCTTCTCCTCATAATGGATAAATACTTATCTATATCCAGCATTCCTCATCAGTGTTCCTTAATCATTGGTCTAAAAGCTGGAAATGGCCTGAAGCTACCATCTAACACAGACCTCTCTCATTGATAAGAAAAGCATTATTATTCCCTATTTTCAGATTCAGCAGATATTTACTGAGCACATATAATCTTCAGTATATTTTTCTAGATATTATGAGGGGAGTACAAAAATATAGCAGGCATGGGCCCTACCCTTATGAGCTTGCACCCTCAAAGAGAAGCAGAGTAGTACAGATATCTACATAAGAAATCATAATATAAGCTATAAAACATTAAATGACGTCATTGAGTTTAAAGAAAAAAGTGCTGTGTGAGATCGGGGGAAAGGTAACTTCTAGCTGGGGTGGTGTCAAGGAAGCTTGGCAGGGGAATATTGGTCCTAGGAGGATTATTAAGAAGTAGGATGCCATGGCTAGGTAGACTTAGTCATGCAGTGATGGAGGAAAGCATTTTAGATAGATAACTGTAAGAACAAAGACACTGAATTGGGAAATCACGTAGCATGTACAGGAGTGGTAATGCAGTTTGACCCAAGACTAGAGCAAGTGATGAAGAAACTTGGGGCCCAAGGTGGTTGAGGATTACCCAAAGCCATAGCACTAAGGAGAACCAGAATGGGTACTGAATCCCAGGGATCTTCCTTCTTTAATGTTCTTTCCGTACCTTGATCAAGTCAACATTTATCTACTGCACACTTTCCTTACAACAGCCCATTATAAATTGTCCATTAATTAATTGGTTCAACAAACACTGAATATCTACAACATGCCAGGCACAAATGGACACTGTCGTCTCCAAGGCTGATTTGGTATGTGTTATAAAATAATGTTTTCCAACTGCGGAGCAGGGCTAACATTGGGCTAAGACAGATATCCTTTCTCTTTATTTTTTTTAATTTATTTTTTTATTCTGTTCAGTTAGCTAACATATAGTACATCATTAGTTTTTGATGTAGTGTTTAACTTCCTTTCTCTTTAATTGCTAGAATTTTTCGAGTTATACCTCAGAGAACATACCATAAATAACAGAGAGAATTAAATAAACCACGGAAAATGATCCCTGTATCATGTTTTTACATGATATCCCTACATCAACT